GGTAATCAACGGTTCGATGAGACCGCAGATATACCGATGCAGCGATGGATTTTGCTCCATAAGCATATCCATAATACCGAAATGATAGAGTGCAGTCTCCCACGGTATGTAATCCCGTTCCCCATTACGCAAATATAAGCTCAACGACATCGTTAAGTTCACATCGAGAATACCAATCCTCATGAACGAGAAGGCGTCGTCCAACAGATTTGACCGATCGATGGCCGACAAAACGTGTCGATTGTAGTTATGATTGTTAAGCAGATCTGTCAGTGCGAGCCACTGATCGGACTCATAGTTGACCCGATAAAAGCCCGACTGATTGACGTTCACTTTGAACCACTGGTGTTGGGCATCAAATGGTATCGACATGTCGACGTGTTGAACCAAACCAATCTTGATTCGCGAGACAAACGATCGGTAATTATTGTGACCGGTATTATCCACTTATAGCCAAACGGTGATATGTCTGACGGGTCGTCAATATTATCCGAATCAGGAATACTGGACAGAAAACGTCGTTGATTTAGCATTAATTGGTTTCCAATGCGTCGGACTGTGATTACAGGAAACCCTTTTTGATTGACCCACGTGTCCATAATTGCCGACACATTAATGCCATGAATACGACTTGCCTTTAGTGTAAAATCATATTTATTAATATACTATATATGTGTTAAACTAAAGCTTTGTTTTAATGAATGAAAATTAGTATTACATCTGAGAATGAGTGCCACAAGTCGCTGGTCTTCGCTGTTTTGTACTGATATTTGTGCAAAAATGCCGACAAACCGATTCGCAGGTTATCAATGCCCAAGAAGTTGTCCAGCATTCGGATGAGTGACGCGCCCTACGGTTGAGCGGGTGGTCAATAAAATTAATAAAACACAAAAAACTTGAAAATATTAATAATATTTTACTTTTTTGTATGAAATCATATCAAATATGGCCTCAATCTCTGTCGGATTCTTTACGTCGGCTCTGATGGGATGCGATGTCTGCAGAGAGTCCATAGCCATAGCGTACTGAGTGGTGGTCACCACAAACTGTTCCATCATTTTCCTGTCGCAAACACAGTAATCAAAGTCTAAATGATTCTTAAAATAAACAAATTATTTTTGTCATCAAACCATTCGGGATGTATATAATTAACGCCAAGATTTTCAATATACGAAGCGAAGCCCTCGTTGAGCCAGAGGTCGTCCCACCAGTTCATTGTCACTAAGTTGCCGAACCACATGTGCGCTAATTCGTGAGCTAATAGTGCCAAACATTTAAAAACAAAAAAAAACAGATGATCCTAACCAACAAATTTATTGTAAAATAATTGCTAACCGACAACAATGGCCACCTGTTCCTGTGTTTCGCTATTACTTTCGTTGTCGTTGTAAAGGAAAACCGATGTCCGAAATGTAATGAGACCCCAGTTTTCCATCGCACCGCCGCCAAAGTCAGGTACGGCCACTAAATCTAGTTTACTTAATGGATATGTTATATTAAAGAACTCCTGGTAGTAGCTGAGTATAGAAGCGGCCGAATTGAGAGCATAGTTGGACTGTGAGTCCTGTTCATCGGGTACTATGGCCCGGATGTTGATGCCCTCGCGAGTCTGTTTAGCGTGTATGTTGAAATCGCATACTATGAATGCCACCAAATAGGTAGACATCGGGACTGTCGGCTCGAATACCGACATAATAAGGCCTTCCTTATTGTACGGAACGCGATCCACGCGCTCAGAGTTGAAGAAGGCTTCGAAGTCTCTTTCGTGAACCAATTTCATGGAAAACGAGGCTAACAGTTGATGTATTAAAATGATAAGAGGACAGGGATTTTGTTTTATAGATTTATCATTTTATACTTAACTCTATGGTAAAGTACGGTAAATGAATTTTTTAAAACCTTTGAGCGCCGGCTCATCAAAACAAGGAAATGCTGATCGCGCGGACGTCGGCTCAAAATGAGTTGTCAGCAAATATTTTCTGACACCAGTCCTGGTGTCCACATATGAACTGACGTAAAAGCCTTCCAACTGTTCCTCCAGTTGTCGCTCAAACGTTAACCGTAAACTATAGTTACGGTTTGGCACAAGTAAGCCATCAAAACCTATAAACAACTGTTCGTGTTGTGTACATTCCAGCCGTCGGATAACCGGTACGTCCATATCGTCAGCACTAGTCATTGTGATGTCAGTGATATTTAATTTTTTCGTATGTATTACCACAAAGTCTGTCCTCTCGGTCACTGTTAGCCATATGGATACACTACCCGTGTTGTAAAAGGTAGTCATATTTGGTTTCATGGATAACTCATAGCTGAATGGCACGACAAACGCTGGTAACCGGATGTCTGTCCGGGGAAACAGTTCACCTGTGGTGGACAACAACGGCGATTGAGACAATTGATGTCGACTACCGGTGCCGCTACTGTCCGGTTTGTGTTGACGATGATCGGCGTCCGGCCCGTACGATCCGGTATGCGATAATGTGTGACCAGTAAAACATTGATTATGGAATGGAAAGAAGGCTATGATTAAGGCTATAATAGTGATGACCAAAAGTGAACACAATCCCATCGTCAGGACATTGGATTTGCGCCAATTGAGCACCGAATGAGCGCCCGATTGACCGTCACTGTGCCGATGATGGCGATGATGGTGTCGGCTTTTTGCCGACGAGTTCGGACATATGAGTCCGGCACAACTGGTCGACGATTGGTGTTTACCATCGCTACCGTCATGTCCATTTCCGTCGGCTCCGGTAAGAAAGGCCACATCGTCGATCTCCAACTCGGTCATTGGTATTGTCATAGTTGTCGACCCGACCGAACTGTCTTCGGGATCGATGTCGGCACTGTTACCGCCGATGACCAGAAGATGATTGTGACGTTTCTTCCACAATATCGATAGAAACTCAATTGTTACCAATTTGTTCGGGAGGTGTCCTCACCGGGAGAAAGTGTCTTCATTAGATAATGAATATGACAAACAAACTTAAAAACTATGTCAGTGTTGGCGACACCCCTGAGTTGCTGTTGGAACTGCTTAGGGATGATTGTTAGATCAAATAATGATTTGGTATCAAAAAGTTTTAATCACTTTTTTTCGTCACAGATATTATGTAAACGGCTTATGTATGAAGACTAAAGGGGGAACTGCTGTTAATGATAGTTTGAATGTCAGTCCCTATACCTCCAAGACAACGACAACAACATTGTTGACACAGTAATTGTCATATTTTCAAATGCACTTCTAATCCTTCACCACTTGAAGTGTGTTTTTTGAAGTTTTAAACATTTAAGTGGTTAAGAGATTGTTGTTATCACTTCTCTTTCTCTTTTCTTATTTATTGTTTTGTTGAAGTGGTATTACGTTAACTGATTCACACGTTTGTAGCCAATAATTATAATTATCTTTTTTTCTTTATCTGTTTTTTTTAAAAAAATACATGATATAATCACTTAAAACAAATATACATTACCGCGCGATTGGGTAAGTAATGGTAACTATTTTTTGTGTATACTTTAGTAAACTTATTAAACGATTAGATATTTGATGGTTGACTTTGAAGTTAAATACATTCACTTCAAGTGAAGTGCAAACAACTTGTGAATCAATTTTATTAATTAAAAAAAACCTACCATTCCTCCCCTCTCGAAAAAAATGTAATAATTATTTTGATAGTTAGTTGACTACTACARTATCACTTAGTGGACAAATTGTGTGTCTTCTCTCTCAACCTCTCTTCCGACTACTAACTCTCTACTGTCTCCAAGTGCTCACTATGTGGTGTCTATGGGTTGTCCTCCGCATACAGACACAGCTAACACAACATTAATGCACAGTTAGTCAAACAGTCACTCACAGTGGTTGTGATGGTATAGTGTAGACATCGATTAAACATTTATTTTAATGTCCCATATATTTATATAATTTAGTTGTATATATGATAACAGCTATGATAACTACCCGTTCTCTCTCTCTCTCTCTCTCTCTCTCTCTCTCTCTCTCTCTCTCTCTCTCTCTCTCTCTCTCTGTTTTATGGTATGTCTCTMTCAATTGTCTCACTCTTTATTCAAACTCTTTTGAACTGCAATTTTCTCAGTCGACTCTCACTTTCTCTTTCATCACTGCTTTTTTCACTGTTAATTAAATATCGATTTTCATGTACTGTATGTATGTATGTATGTATGTATGGATATATGTTTTGTTTGTATTGAGAACTGTCAGATGAAAGTAGGAGTGTGCGACAGTGGCGGTGAAATAGTAGTGATATAATAGATGACAATATTAATGCACTTTTAGGTTGCGCTTAATTTTCTTAACTCTCTTTCTTTCTTTCTCTTGTTTTTCACTTGTCTTTCTGTTTATTTTGAACCCAAAGAGGATGTGATTGTATTACTGAATGACTTATTTATGGCAAAAGACAATCAATTTATCGGTTTGTTTGTCGTGTCTCTGAATGTCTTCAGGGATATACCCATTGGTTCCATATATCACAGCCATCATCACAACACACACACACACACACACAATCTCACATACATTTGCGATACACATAAACACACAGACAATCACATTGCAGAGTACAGGACCTATCAAATGGATGATACCATTGAAAATTGTGGCACAAAATTAATTGACTGAAAAAATTGATGATAATTTCATCAAATTAGTTATACAGTTAGTTTGAATTTTCATAATTAAAAAAATTATAATTAAAAAATTACTTACATTTTCTTTTAAATTGAAAAATTGTTTTGTATTTATTTATTTATTTTTTGTCATTTATTTTGCTTATTATTATTATTATTATTTTATAAATTAATTCTTAATCTTTTTTCTGTATTTTTGTTTAAACAAAAAACATAATAAACAGGAAAAAAATAAATAGTTATAAATCTTTTATATTAATGAATAAAAATAATTATTTTTTATAGCACTTAATAATATTAATAATTTTTTCTATATTTACATATCGCTTATATATAATCTCACAATAATAATAAAAATAATAATAATTATTATTATTTATATTAAATTCAATATATTTATGTTATCTATTTACACAATTTTATTATTTGAAAGTTATTTTTACTTTATGTAACACTTTATGTTAATAAATATTAAGTAAATTTATATATTATTTATTATTTTATGAATATATTTAAGTAGTTATATATTCTATATGTTTGTATAGATAAATACAATATTTATTTTAATACTATTTAATACCAAACAAAATGATTGCTTATTATTATAATTATAGTAAATAAGGGATGATTAGGAAATGCACTGACAATCACTTAATATTATTATTATTATGAAAATATTATTACAATATTGTGTTAAATAATAATAATAATAATAATTTATATGTCAAATGATAGGCCACTCAGTAGTAAACATATAATAGCACTCATAGACTATCATTATAACTGTAAACTCTATGAGAGTTGTCTAACATATTGTAACGTCCTGCGTCGCTACCTCGACGTTAGTGTGGATCAGCTTTAAGTCGCCAGTGTCGCAGGTACCATGTAGTGTGACACTCGGTCTCGCACCGACCTGTATCTGTAACCTTCGCTCGCTTTCGCTCGCCAGCGCTATGCAGACGTCCCTCGTATACGTTTCCCCAACGCTACACTAGGTTGTCGCGCGGTGGCTATTGCACGACGCCGTCATCTGACCGCGGCCGATCCTCACCATTACCATGAAGTACGTAACGTTACCTCGTCTACTCGGATTATCGTCTATGAAGTTCGTCTGTCTAGGGGTTAATCGCATCGCGAAGTTGTACGTTGTCTAGGGGTTGTTGTATCGCGTAGTCATAAGATGTCTAGGGGTTCTCGACGGCCATCCGATAACCGCCTTCCGATCGCTCCCGATGTGGCGTTGGTATTACACTGTCGGCCCTTTGGCCTGATCTTGCCGGGACCTCATCTCGAGCCTCAACTGTCTTCGCGACGGGAGGCGAGACGATATCGGTGGTCTCGGCTACCTACCAAATGAAGATCAGAGACTTCGCTGGCCTCGACCGAACGACTCGGGAGGCGAGACTCTGTCTCAGTAAACAAATCTTACCCGATCTCTGTCCAACACTTACGCGACTACCGTCGCCGGCGAACGCAAGGCCCGAAGGCCTGCGCCTACAAACACTTTAACTTACTGTTGCTGTTGCTAACCGTCACCAATTTATTGATTAAATATATATAAGTATAATAAGGGTTACAATAATAGGTAATACACGTCCTCTCGTCTCGGCGTCTCGAACTTAACTTCTTCTCTCCAGTCACTCAAGTGACTAGGGAACAGAATGCTCGGCACATTTCCCGAGTCGGCGCTCTAATCATACCAATCATATACTACTTATTAGTGACACAACTATATAAACTACTCTCTTATTGGCTATTACTGTCTCAGCCTAGTTAATACGTACCGGTTGTCATTAAACTAGTTATTGCCTTAAAATAATGCAATCAAGGTTTCTAATGCTATAAGGCATATGTAGTATACTGTATGCTATAGTGTTATTTACTAGTTATTATAATATAGTGTCAATTAATACAATAGTAATGTATTAGTATCGTTAGTGCCGCTAATGCTGAAATATACTGCTATGCTGTATACACTACTGTGTATTAAAGAGCTATGCTCAATACACCGCTATGTATTATGATGCTATGCTGTATACACTACTGTGTATTACAAAGCTATGCTCAATACACTGCTATGTATTATGATGATATGCTTCGTACCTCACTATATAACTTCATATGTATATGAAGCCTAAAGTTATGAAGCTATGAAGCTTTAAGGCCTCTACTGAGGCTTAATCTCCGTCAAACGTGACAACTACCCTCCCTTTCAAAGAAATCTCGTCCCGAGATTAGAGAATGTGTGCACAGGTATAAAATCAATATAAAATATTTAAACAATTGCATGCAATATTAGACAAAAATTATAAAATTAAAAATGTAAAAGTTGAAACATTAAGGCGTGAACGTTGCCCCACGTATTATAATGGTGCTTTAGATTCTTCCTTGTTCGGTACTGCTTCGGTTGTCGACTCCATATCCACTGATACGTCGTCTTCAAATTGTGGCCAAATATCGTCGTCATCAATGTTAAACTCATAATAAGGCTTTATACGATCGATTGTTGACTGTATCTCAGTACCTGTGTTTACATCCTTTAACCAATACGTGTCATTGAACTTATTTATCACTTTTAAAGGGCCCACAAAGGGATTAATAAGTCGTTCACTTAGGCCAACTTTTCTTATTTTTCTGTAGACTAACACCAAATCTCCGATTTGATACTCCATAGATCTATGTCTTTTGTCGTAAT